TAATTATATATTATGAATAACTTATTGGCATTTGTAAAATACACGAGGGAATCCTGACAGCAACGCTGTAGTCCATCTGCTAACTGATAATGGCAAATCATAATTCACTTAAGCCAAAAGAAGGCCACATGAAAACTTATGAAATTGGCTATAAACACCACAGTAGATGCCATGGTCAGGGAGGAAATTTTATTGCAAATTGGCATATTGCTTTTGACCAATTTGTTCGGCAAGAATGCCTTAAAAGATGATCAATTTCGCATTTGAAAAATTTTGTGGCGGAATCCTGACAGCCTTAATGTGAATCATATGGCTTGATAATCGACATTGTCAAATTCTGACCTCCATATAAATTGACCAATTGCCTAAGCAGTCTCTATGGTTGGTTTAAAAACAAAGAAGGAAAAGCTTTTCCTGATCCATTTAATTAGGCTGAACCACTTTATTTTCTACATTAGATGAAGCCAAACAACAACAGTAGTTTAATTCTTCAGCATTTCCTTTCACGGCAACTTTTTATTTTTAGTCTCTTACTTCCATGTGTTTTGCACTAATGCTTTTTACATGATAATAGGATTGATACCTTCAATCGACCGAATGAACTTTTAATTCAATCATCAAAAACATGTTTATACCTGTTAATGAGGTAAGCTAATTATTTACCTGTTTAAACAATGAAGATTAATCTTACTGTACATAAATTTGATAATTGCACAATTTTAATCATCTCAACTTTTTTATTACAAAAAATATTGTAACTTGAAATAAAAAAATAATTACGGATGTTAAATTTTAAATTTTAAATTTACTTAATATTTATATTATTTTTTGAAAGTGATTATATAAATTATTTGAATTAAATTTTAAATTTTTAATTATAATATTCATTCATGTGGAATTCATAATTTAGAATTATATGAAAGGTAAAGATTTGATAATTTCATACTGACCTTTCTAAACTTTCTCATTCATCCAAAAGATTTTGAACTGTCGTTTGGGTCGAAGGCCCTAGTTATCGGCCAGACTTTATGACCATGCACAAACTGTTCTATGATGACACATTTTCGGCAGCTCATTTTGACTCGCTTCCATCCATCACGCTTATCTATACATTGGGGTAATTGCTGTAAAAGGACAAATGTAATAAATGCCATTCGGCAACCGCTTCCTATAAATTCGAGCACCCATGAGCTGCCTTGTATAATGATAAAACAGTTTCTAAAATTATCGGGGGGAAGACGACAAATTTTGGATTTATGCTTGTGCATTTGATGATAACGTTGTATTCAAAGAAGAAAAAAAAATTGATTTTTCTTTATTCATGTTTTGTATGTAAGATTAAATGTAGTTCATTATCTTTAATTATTATTTTAGAAAGAGGTATAATGATGTCATCAATATATCTTATTAAATCACTTAATAATAAAAAAATATTATCTAATCATATCAAAATAAATAATTTTTTGAATTCAATTTAATGAAGATAAACTAAAAATATTGAAAAAGAAAAAAAAGGTATAAAAGAAGATTAGTTGTTAGAATTTATTAAAAAATTTAAAAAATAATATATTATAAAAAAGTTGTTGAAGTAAAATAATAAAAATTAATTATTTTTAGATATAAAAAAAAAAACAAATATTTGTATTAGAATTGAAGATGAAGAAAAAGAGAAGGCCGCCACTTTGATATCATGATAAAAATTTATTAAAAATAAATATTTTTTTATATCTCATTTAAGGTTATGATATGTATATTTATATCATGAGAGATGATAAATAAATTTAAATATAATTAAATGTATAATTATTAACAATATATTATAATAAGGGTAATCCAATAGTTTTATCAGGGAATCTTTCCCTATAAATTTGAGCTCCCTGGAAACGATCTGAAGCAAACAAGTTGAAGTATTCACAGAAAAAAATGAAGAGACTAAGCATTGTGTTGTTGGCCTGCGTGGCGGTATCCGCCGCTGCACAAAGTGCTTCTGGCGTGATAGCTTATTGGACTGACTACAATGTTACAAACAATAACTGGGACTATAATGCCGCACATGTTTCCTGGGCCGCTGTGGATGGCGGTAAGCCCTTGGATTGGCGCAGCAAATATGGATGGACCGGTTAATGTGCATCAGTTGGTCCTCGAGGTGAAGAGGCTTGCGGCTTGTGCTTTAGTGTAAGGAACATTTCCTAGTTCTTAATTAGTATTTTTTTTTCTGTCCATATATTGAATGTAAAATGAAATTAAATTCTGAGTTATAATATAAAAACAATTACTTAATTCTCATCACGTCATACATGCATACATGATGTGCAGGTGACCAACACTGAAACTGGAGATAAAGAAACGGTGAGAATCGTTGATGCATGCGGCAGTGGTGGCCTAGAGTTGGACCTGGAGACAGCTTTTAGACCGATCGACAGCAATGGGAACGGCTATATACAAGGGCACCTTGTTGTGGACTTCGAGTTTGTGGATTGTGATGCCGTACCACCACCACCGGCAGGTCCAAGTGAGTCTAACGTGACAGCTTATTGGACTGACTACAATGTTACGAACAACAACTGGGACTATCATGCCGCGAAAGTGTCCTGTGCTGCGGTGGATGGCGATAAGCCCTTGGAGTGGCGCAGCAAGTATGGATGGACCGGCTTCTGTGGAAACGTTGGTCCTCAAGGGGAAGACGCTTGTGGCTTGTGCTTAAAGGTAAGGAATACATTTTCTCTAGCTCTTACTGATTATTAATCTACCCCCATATTGAATAAATAAATTGAATGCTTTGAAGGAAAATTAGAGACTTAAGCTCGTGGGATTCATTGCAATTTTGAGCAATACACATAATTTCATGTATATATAGTTTAATTAATCTTGGCTCTGTCACTGTACTTGCAGGTAACCAACACAGCCACGAAAGCTGAGTAAATAGTGAGAATCGTTGATGCATGCGGCAGTGGTGGCCTGGAGTAGGACCTCGAAACTGCGTTTAGGCCAATTGACACCGATGGAAACAGCTATATACAAGGGCATCTTACTGTGGACTATTGTGGATTGTGGCGATTCCAGCCAAGGGAATAAAGTTCTTGTCTATTCCCAGTAACTTCTCGAGTTACAGACGATTGATTGCCACTTAACTAATTTGTCATGAATAAATCTGAAGAACCATGTGTTATGTAATAAACATGTTAGTGGGATGAAAGTTTTTGCTGTTTGTAAGATCAAATATTCAAGTGGGATTGTGTACTGTGCTTAAGTCTCAATCAATGTTTTGATAAAAAAATATATTATTAACATAAAATTATTTGGGATATACAAGTGAAGGGTTTAGATTTCAGATAAATTTACTACATCACAAGTTAAATTTAAATGTCAACTCCAACGAATTTTATTCACTATCAAATTTTTTTAATCACAATCATAATAATTTTTAATATTGTTTTTAATCTCATCAAAATCAGTCTTACTGTTCATTTAAATGGACTCCAAGTGTACATTTTGGTGAAGCCATAGGCATATTACAACTTTATCAAGGCTGAAGCTATTCGTCATATTTTTCAGCCGCTAATGGGGGAAGAGCAAATCGGTGACTGAAAATTTGAGTAATGAAGAGTCAAATTTCACTAGGGGCGGCAAATATCAATCAAAAAGCGTAAAAAATTCCTGCAACATCAGTCTTAATTTCCACTTTGTGTGAATGATTCTACGATTCTTCGCATCCCAACAACAAAAACAAATGAAAAGATTGTCACGCAAATGAAACTTAGACTAAATTTACTCTATATTTGTTTAGTGGAAAACGAAACTAGAATAAAAGGTTAAAGACCATGGTCTATGGATAAAATTTTCTCAATTAATTGCGGTCTATGGATGAAATTTACTCAATTAATTGCGGTCTTGTTGTGATTAACTTATTGGCATTTGTAAAATACACGAGGGAATCCTGACAGCAACGCTGTAGTCCATCTGCAAACTGATAATGGCAAATCCTAATCACTTAAGCCAAAAGAAGGCCACATGAAAACTTATGAAATTAGCTATAAACACCACAGTAGATGCCATAGTCATGGAGGAAATTTTAGTGTAAATTGGCATATTGCTTTTGACCAATATGTTCTTGTTCGGCATGAATGCATTAAAAGATTATCAATTTCGCATTTGAAAAATTCTGCCAGAATCCTGACAGCATTAATGTGAATCATGGGTTGGTAATTGACATTGTCAAATTCTGACCAGAATATAAATTGACCAATTGCATAAGAAGTCTCTATGGTAGGTTTAAAAACAGTAATGAAAAGCTTTTCCTGATCCATTAATTAGGCTGAACCACTTTATTTTCTACATTAGATGAAGCCAAACAATAACAGTAGTTTAATTCTTCAGCATTTCCTTTCACGGCAAGTTTTTATTGTTAGTCTCTTATTTTCATGTGCTTTGCACTAACGCTTTTTGTATGATTCTGGGATCGATACCTTCAATCGATCGAATGAACTTTAATTCAATCATCAAAACAGGTTTATACCCGTTAATGAGTTGAGATAATTATTTACCTGTTTAAATAATGAAGATTAATCCTAATGCACGTAAATTTGATAATTGCAGAATTTTTTTTTTTTAATACAAAAGAGATTGTAACTTGAGATAAAAAAATTTTAAGTGTTAAAATTTAAAATTATTTAATTTTTTTAAAAAATGATTAAATAAATTAATTAAATTATACTCTATATTTTCAATTACAATATTCATTCACGTGGAATTCATAATTTAAAATTACATGAAAGGTAAAGATTTGATAATTTCATAATGACCTTTCTAAACTTTCTCGTTCATCCAAAAGATTTAGAACTGTCGTTTATGTCCAAGGCCCTAACAATCGGCCAGACTTTATGACCATAAAGGCAGAAAATGTGATATGATGACACATTTTCAGCAGCCCATTTTGACTCTCTTTTATCCATTATGCTTATCTATACATTTGAGGAAAACTTGTAATGTTACGCACACGCGTATAAACTCTTTTTTTCAAGGTCTGATCTAAAAAATCTTTGAGCCAAGATAGCTTGAATCAATCTCCACCCAAGGACAAATGTAATAAATGCCATTTGGCAACCGCTTCCTATAAATTCAAGCACCCTTGAGCTGCCTTATGCAATGAAAAATTACACAAAAAATGGGTAACCTAAGCCTTTGCCTAATTTTCTTGCTTTGCTTATTAGCTAGTGCGGCTGCCCAACAATGTGGGCGGCAAGCCGGTGGCCGGACTTGTGCCAACAACCTTTGTTGCAGCCAGTATGGTTACTGCGGTAATACAGATGATTATTGTTCACCTTCTAAAAGTTGTCAAAGTAACTGTTGGCCTAGTGGTGGTGGTGGTGGTGGTGGTGGTGGTGAAAGTGCCTCCAATGTTAGAGCTACTTACCATTTCTACAACCCCTCACAACATGGATGGGACCTAAATGCTGTAAGTGCTTATTGCTCAACATGGGATGCAAACAAGCCATTGGAATGGCGCCAGAAGTATGGATGGACCGCCTTCTGCGGACCAGTTGGACCTCGTGGCCAAGCATCTTGTGGAAGATGCTTAAGGGTAGGTTTCGATTTTTACTTTCATCAGCTGAATTACATTTTCTTGTTGAAATTAGGAACAACTATGTAGGGGAAAAGAATTTTTTGAAGAGCTTGATAAAGGCTTAGCAGTTTGGATACTAAAGCTATCTGTTGGTTGTGATGAGCAGGTGACAAATAGAGCTACAAGATCTCAAGCAACAGTCAGAATTGTAGATCAGTGCAGCAATGGAGGCCTAGATTTAGATGTAGCCGTGTTCCGGCAGATTGACACTGATGGAAGAGGCAACGCGCAAGGCCACCTTATGGTGGATTACCAGTTTGTCAACTGTTAAGATTGAAGCACTCCAAGCATATTCTATGATGTAATAATAAGAGAATTTCCTCTCATAAATCAAGCTACTTAAGTCAAGAAATAAATCAATATATGTTCTTATTGGATGAGGGAAAAAAATAAAGAATTGTGGAATGCCAAATCAACATCTCCCAAATCAATCTTAGTGTGAATAATTGCATGAAAATGGTGATTTTGGCTAGTATTAAATTTAGCTTTTTCCTTATAAGAAAATCATAATTTGAATATAAAAGAAGGCTTAACACTAGATATTTTTATATGCAAATACAAGCATAAAAGCAAGCATACTAAAATATTACTCATTCGATATTAATTCCATTAATTTTATCTTAATAGATGCAGTAACATGCACATTTATTATTTGAAATTAATGATAAAAAAAATCATAATCTGAATGTTAAAAAACTTAACACTTTATAATTTTAGATGCAAAATATTAATTGTTCATTTATTGTTTGAAATGAATAGTAAAATAGTCAATTGATTCAATTACGATTTTTCAATTTCTAAACAGAAACAGCCAAATCCCCTGCATCCATTGGTAAGGTAAGAATTGTTGGCCAGTGCAAAAATGGAGTCCTAAACACCTATCTTACTTAGCCAAAAATAATAATAATAATAAAAGGCAATAATTCTATGCTTTTTTTTTTCTTTCCACAAGCTTTAATTTTCTAATACAAGATGCATGTATCTTACCATAAGATTGAGTACATTGAACATAGTAAAAATTTTGACAATAATTAAATAATTGAATTTTTTAAAAATATGTGTTAATCTTTTGACTTCGCTTATAAAACTAAAAAAATTTCCATAAACCAAGCAAAATAATCATGACTAGTTCATGATATTCTTCCACTTTGTAGTGATAATTGGTTGAAAGTAATCCGTTAGAGAAGATAAAATGGTTGGTAGATCACCATTAATACCCATTACTTTCTGCCTACAAAGTCAACAGTCCCTATGAAAACCAAACATTCAGAGGAAATTAATGGGTAAACTAGGCTCCCTCATATTTTTTATACCTTTGAATCAAAATACTAAAGATAAGTTTTATAGATTTATGTTGATGAGATTTATTATGGTGAGATTAAAAATAATAATTATATATTATTATTATGATTAAAAAATTATAATAAAAAATTTATATTAATTTAATTTTATTAAAATTAATATTTAAATTTTATTAATGATATAATAAATTTAATTATATTAATTAAAAGTACGATAAAATTTAAACAAAATTTATTTTGAATCAAAATTAATAAAAATATGTAACATTTATATTAATATAAATAAATTTTTACTCGTATATCTATCATATATATTTTAATAAATATGTGGACAATTTAAGTTAAAAAAATATTACATTAAATATTTTATTCAATAATTGATTTTCAAATAACTTGATTCCAATTCTTCTATTCGCAATATAAAAAAAATCAAATAATACTCGAAATCATTTATATTAAAATTTTTAAATTTTACAAATTAGATTAAAAAAATGATAATAGTACTTTTTTATTATATTAATTTTTTAATTTTATGAATTTTTTAAAATGTAATATTGTGAAAATTTTAAACTATTAAAAACCTAATAAATGTACATTTTTATTATATTAGTTTTTTATAACAGGGACAGAACAAAACGCAAAAGGAGTTTCACTTCAATCCGAGTGAGAGCTGCTTCTGTTGTCATACAGCTTTCTTCGGTAAAATCAATCGAACCAACCATGCAACAGGTATTTTCCCAGAACCCTTCTTCTTTGTTACATCTTTTGTTTATTAATTTATTCAATTTTCTTGTGGGTTTTAAAATGAGAAATGATTTCAAGGGTACTGGAGGATCTGATACTGAGGTGACTTGGGAAGATCAACAGAACATTAACAAATTTGGAAGATTAAACAATCGATTTCATGAGCTTGAAGATGAAATCAAGATTGCTAAGGTATTATTTTGGTTTGGGTTTTCTATAATTTCTGTTCATATTTATTTTTTGCCTTTTGATTTTGGATTTTGAGGATTTTTTTTCTTTTTTTGACTTTTTAACATTATTTTTCTGATGGGTTTTCAGAATGAGAAAAAACCCAGATTCAGTTTTGGCTATCTTGATGTTTAAGGTCGTTTGTTTATGTGCGTTTGTGAGTTTTAGGGTTTCGTCTCTTTTTCATTTGGAAAATTTTGCTTCTTTACTCTCAGTTTCCCTTTTTCCTTGTTGTATATATGTGAGCTGCAGGATTGGTTTTGCTGAATTAGATGGATATTGAGAATGGAAACAAATAGCATTTTGCTTCTGTGATGACATATACATTGGGAAAAAGAAACTGAAACTGCTGTTCTGGCTACACTTCTGATTGATTATCCCACTTTGTCTTTAGTGTCTAAAACTAGTTGTCTTTGTCCTGCAGAAGAGCTTTAATCTTAATCATAGTTAAATTTTTGTTGCATATTACCAAATTGCAATTGTTATCTTCATTTTCTCATTTTAGAAACTATTGAGACTCCCCATTCTACCATAAAAATTGCTGTTTTTACCACTATTGAAATGTGGATACTATCTTATGGGATTACATTTTCTGACTATTTTTTTTTTCCCAGGAAACAAATGATAACCTGGAGGATGCTAGTAACGAGTTGATTCTAACTGATGAGGAAGTAGTTCGGTTCCAAATGGGAGAAGTCTTTGCTCATGTGCCAAAGGAGGAAGTGGAGACCAGGATAGAGGAGATGAAGGAAGTAACCAGCAAGAACTTGGAAAAACTGGAGGAGGAGAAAGAATCAGTACTAGCACAAATGGCTGAGCTGAAGAAGATTTTGTATGGGAAGTTCAAGGACTCCATCAATCTAGAAGAGGATTAATAGCTTTGGATTTTTTTTTTTTTCATGTAACTTGATACTACTTGCTTGTGTTTGATATTTACTCTCTTTTGTTGCCATCCAGCATGTTTTTTCTCAGAGATTTGCTCATCTTTTATTTCGATTTTAGGGTGTATCACCTTAAAGGTCTTCCTGGGTAGCCTTTTTGACGTAAACCTCGAGTATGGACATATCAAAGAATGAAATGAATCTGAACTGATTCCTTCTTGTCACTTTTGAAATTATTGCTTTACCTTCTTACCCTTGAACCTTTCTGGATTTAAATTAGTTATTAACTTGACACAAATAGTTGCCAATGGATTGATGCTAGTAAGATTCGATTATTTTATTTGAAAGGTTGATTAGGTTGGTAAGATTTTGTTAGATTTTATAAAGTTTGTGGTAAGATTTGAATATTTCATTTATAAAATTTAAGTTCCAGTTTTGCTGCCTGCAATAAACCTTCCTTCTTAGGGTTTAAATTTGAGTCTCCTTGTCTGTAATCTCTAGTGATAAACAATCTGTAAATTTCATATCAGTCTTATTTAAAACATTCCATCTGCCTTGATCTTATAATGGAAAACTTCTCTCACCCTAAACTTTCCTATAAAATAACTTGACACAAATAGTCAATATAATTACGATTGGAGTAGTTTAATGTAATTCCGAAACAGAGGAGCTCAGCTGATGGCCATTTGAAAACTGAAATAATAAAATTAGAGAATGTTCTGCACTGCGCTTTGCAACGTTTATTGGCCATAATATTCTGTCAAAAGCGATGGCAAAGCCAACTGCCCTTATAGCTACACCATATTTTGGTAAAGAACTAAATAAGACTTGCCTTGCAACTGGAAATATGCTGGTAAGTGTTGGGGTATTTAGGATAACATAAATATAAGTCCTTGAAGCTTCCAATTCATAAAGAAATCCATTGGAGCATGCAACCATAGCTATAATGTGTAATGCAATAGCAGAAAAGAAAACTGACTTTCACATAAGCAAACACTACTAGCTACAATGATGGTTTCTTGCCTTGAAGTAGGATTCAGGTAACACATGCAATCATTAATCAGGTAGTAGGATACCAAAGGCAAACCCGGAATATGACAATGCCAATAGTCAAATGATAAACTGGCTGCTCGAAGAGATACAAGCGACTTTCTAAACCAGTAATTGGTAAAATCAGAGATAACATCTAGCTGCCACAGCAGCAAATCTAGTACCCCATGAAGAAACTAAACTCTACCTGTCAGATGTTAGTGCAAAGAGACAGTGACACTAGAAAACCAAATCATAACATAGTGCTGAATCACAAAATAAAATCATGACTACTGCAAAATTTGAGGTTAATGCTTGGATTAAAGCGTTTAGCAACCTCTATCTGTTACATCATGCTTAATGCAAATTGTAAACAGCCACAATCAAGGTTATCAAACAACCGTTATAAGAAATGCTTTAAGACACAAAGTTCGCAGGGAAAGAACTATAAAGTTGATTGATCATTAGATTCATTGAGATTGTGCTACAGCAGAAATCAACACATTAGTGATTACAGTTGAATGACTAAAACAAAGTTACTTCCTGGATCAGTATAACAGGGCAACAAACTAATTACCTCCCACCTCCCATACCAACACTGCAGATAAGAAAATGCCTGTGTAATACTTGTTGCTTTGCAACATAGCGTCACTATCCATATCCAAAGCCACAAAATTTAACTTACTAATCATGTTAAGTGGCCAAAGAACAAAATCCAACCTCCCTATCAACTGAGGAGCCACAACATTCTCCTCTATTTCCACAGTACATGAAATACAATATTATGCCACAAGATCTTGCCACCTTTGGGCTTCAACCAATGAGGAGGAAATACAAAACAACCTGTGATACCCACTTCTAATCCAAGTCCCAAAAATGCAACTTTCTTCTCCTAATAAAAGTGACAACCCCAAATGAAAAATGATCAAGGGGATCATTTCGTGAATGAAATAACTCAAACAAGTAACGCCTCAAATACCAACCACTAAAAGGATCACACCAAGGCCACCAATCCTACCTCCACAATATTGAACCAAAAACACCAGGACCAAAAAAATCAGACGATTCCCCAAAACACCAGTTCAAATCAAAGCCCCAAAAACCACCAAATTTCACAACAATTTCAAACTAAAGACACTCCAACAATCACAGGGATGAATTCATGAAGGAAACAAGCAACGCCTCAAATACCATCCTCCTCAAAGCTTAAACCAATAATATCATAACCACAAGCAGTCCTCAACCAAAATCCTAAACACTAAAATAAAAGGATCATTTAGCAACCAATTCCTCCAATCCAATTTCCACAAACTCAAACCATCAAAACCTCACTTCAAAATCAACCACCAAAACACAACTTCCCTAACAATTCAACGCCGAAAAAGTTCCAAAAACAAATCAAATCCTATTATATCCAGAAGTAGGCCTCAAAGGCTGACTTCCAACAACAGAAAGCAACCCATTTTCCTCTTCTTCTACCCCACCAAAACCCAAATCTTCAGTTCTTCTAAAGGCAGAATGAACACCAACAACAACTACCCCAATAATCAAACCCACTAAAACATTAACACCCACATGAGTCAAAACCAATGACACCACAGTAACAAAACTCAAAACCCCCAAGACAACATTATCATCCACCGTTTTGTTGAAAACAACAACTGGGTTGTCATTAAAGAGGTAAAAAAACCACCAGAAAATGAAAGTAATCAAAAATACTATCATTGAAGTTGGGTGCCAAAGAAGAGTTAAGAAGACGATTGTTAGCATTAAGATTACGTAGTTTACGCGGAAGTAAGAGAGGTTCAGCTTTATTCGGGCTTTGGCATCGCCATAGGAGATGGGGAGGGAGAAGGAGGAGAGGGAGACAAGTTCCGGCCATGGGCGGCGCATGTGTTTGGCACGTGAAGAAGTGCAGGTTCCGCTGGCGGTGATGGTGCCGTAAGTTGTGGTTGTGGGTGGCATTTTTGGAGATGGATTTTTTGTTCGAAGGAAGAAAGATTGGATCTTGAAAGATTCGGGGTAACGGGAATGACCGAAAGAGGAGAAAACCCTAAAAATTGAAAAATTTTTGGGTCACCTTTGTAACTAGCAAAATTGGAGGTTTTTTTTTTTTTTTTTCAATTTCTAATTTTTAAAATCGGACTTATATTCTTGTTTTTTTTGGAATGGTTGTACACTGGTAATTTTTTTTTTTTTGGCCCAAAATTGTATTCTTTAATTTTATTTGATTTATACCACTTTTCTTTTTGTTGAAGACATTAAAAGACATTAGCTGGGAAAGTTTGCGTACAAACTGGCTTAATTAATATTATTTTTATATATAATCCTTCTTTGAAAATAATATCTATCATAATTAACATTAATACGTTAAATACGAAATATATTTTTAATTTTTATAAAATTCATATATAATTTTAATTAAAATTTTAAACAATATCATTCTCCTTTTTTTATATTATTTTCATATAAAATCTAAAATTATTTTATCTCAATACCCAAAATTAAAAAAACAAAAAAACCATACGTGAGGAGAAAATAAAAGAAAATTCCAAGTCATAGATATTAGGTACTCAATTTATAATTTTACTGATTAACAATCTTGTTGAGCATTTTGAGGGCTAATTCATGGTAAAATCCTTCATGTCAGGACAAGGAGTGAGAGCTAGCAATCTTAGGAACCTGGCAGGGAAAGGAAAGATGGATTTCAAAAACTAAAAGCATGGCAATCTCTCCGTGTGGCAAAACTCTTGCAAGAGTATAAGAAAGTCTACAGTCACTCATGAAACCAGGATGCATGAAAGAAGCATGCAATTCTCATGGAACATAGATTTGCTCTTAAAAATGTTTCTATGTACTCTTATGATCACAACTTTCTGTTGTGTTGTTTCGCCAATAATACATTCTGATAAACATCGCCTTAAAACACAATCTTCACTCTAGAAAAAGTGAGCATGGTGCATTCATCTTCTTCTTTGGTGTATCATCCAAGTAGAACCTAAGATTTTTCCTGATCTGTACCGTGAAACTTCCTCCCTGCTTCAACAGCTTCCCTGCAAATTTTGTAAATCATTGGAAGAAGGCAAATGCATATCTTAGAGCCAATGCAGAAACGAAACTACAATAGATACAGCAAGAACATTAACCAGCTTTATCCAGATATTTAAATGATCATTGGCATATAGCTTTCATCTCCTTGATAGTAGGAAATATCGATAAAAACATGAAACAAGAAATCATAATGTCAAAATGTTGCGACTTGTGTACTTTGGAAAGAAACTCATTTTTTTATCTGCTATAGATCCTTCACATCGTGCCCATATCCCTTTGAAAAACACTAAAATTTTAAGTTAGCAATAGGCAAATCGGTTTTACAGACAGCTAAAAACGATGACCTAAGCAGAGAAGATAGAGAGTGAGATTACAAACCTAAAAGCATTTACGAGTTCTTTATTTTCAGGGTCAAGCTTCACACCCTCGTAAAAGGCATTGGCTGCTTGATCGTATTTCTGCAATAAAAGGAGCAGCTAAAAATGGTCAGATAACAAGAATAACAATAGCAGCATGAAACTTTGATAACTATGGTAAAAGATTGCAACATGCCTGCAACAATCGCAAAGCAGCACCTTCCCTATAGCAAGCTTTTGGCCAGTCTGGTCTTAATGCTCTGCAAGCCTTTGCATCAGTTAAAGCATGCTCAACTTGCCCAAGACGGATCCAACAAAGGCTTCTATTTGAATGTAATGTAGCATCAGTCGGATCTAAATCAATTGCCTGTAAGTGCATCAGCAGATGAGATTAAATCACATGATTGTGTTGTTAACTGAGTTACCCACTTCTAAGGCTCATACACACTCAATTCACCAAATGCCAGAAAACAAATTTACCTTCCTGTGATGTGCAAAAAGTTTAGCAATCAAAGTGCTTAGGCATGTGGTTTTGCAGGTTACTCCATCAGTTGATAGAAAAAGAAACAGGAAAAAGAGCTAAAAAGCAGGGTGAAGCTTCAAAGTTCGGGAAATGAATTTCTAGTCTAGGAACAAGAGATTCCAACCTTGTACTAGGATAGGTGGAATAATGCTATTGCATAGATGAGATTACTATCTTACTTGTGTATATGCATCTACAGCCATATGAAAATCTTTTCTTTTGAAAGCCTCATCTCCTCTCACTTTGGCTTCTGCGGCTTTCTTCTTTGCTTCCGGTGCCACCTATGTGCATTGTTTAAGATATATGAGAAGAATATATATTTTCTTTCATTACTTCAAACTCTAGGGTATTTTATCAAGTACAGATTCCAACCATGAAAATTACAAGCAACAGTTAACCACAAAGAAAAACCGTGGGAATCGCATCATTTAAAGCCCATTGCTCAAAAGGATGAAAGTAACCCAACAAACAAAATCTAGAAGGACAAAACCAACAAGAAAAAATTCCCCAAATAGAGTAAAGGGGACACCTCAGGGAGATCGCTTGTTGGCAATGTGGTGTCACTTTTTGCCTTAGTGTCCTTCAGATTTTTCATTTCCTCCTGCAAAATAAACCTCAAATATAAATATAAATACCAGTGTATGTTGACATTTGCATTCCAAGCAAAATAAAGAAGCTAAGAAAAGGAGTGCAAGCTCACAATCTGCTTCAATTTGATTCACAGTAAAACTGATAAGTAACTTGAAGCAACAGTAGTCAGTCAGGTTTTTTTTTTCTTTGGTAAGGAGATTTCCTCTTTCCTCTCATAAGATATGTAATCAATTTCTTTGCACATGTAGATATTAGCTAAAAGGCATTCTTCAGTTGAACAAACAAAGATGCAAATCCATGTGAGACTTGAGAAAGGAACACGAAAAGAACAGAGAACAAACACTTGACAACAATTTTAAACAAAAGCCAGGATATGGACATCATCAAAGTTCAAGCTGATATGATCTCCTTGAATTTCCAACACTAAAAAGGAAAATACCAAATGAAATAGGAGAAAAACATAAAGAACTAAATTTGGCAATTAGTACCAGCTGTTTGTTAGCTTCAGACTGCATATATTCAAGAATCCCATCTATAGTCCACTCCGGAATGGCATCAATTCTTGATATCAAAGGAAAAAGGATCTCAACAGCCCCACGTTGGCCTCTGGCTGCTGCAACTTGTATGGGCTTCTGGCCATCCTGTGATGAAATGAACAAAGGAAAATGGTGTATGAAGTCAACTACCATTTTGCAGATAAAACTTAACTACCTACCATTTTGTACTTTGGTACTGAGTTATACTTCACTTTCCTTAAAATTGAAAGAGAAAAACTAAAAATCCTTGGGAAAAAATTTTTTGTTCATAAAATAAGAAAAAAGTGAGCTTGATGAATCTTTTTTTTAATCTAACTCCTGCCCGAGGTTCTAGTTCGAAATAGCAAATATCTATTGTCAAGTACGCTCTTTAAAGATTAGATCACAGCTCAAGAGTCATGTATGCCAATTCAGAAGGCAGCAGTGGCTACCATACAAGTGAAAACCCATCATTTAGCATAAAATGTATTAATAGAAACAACTGGCATCCCCATTCTATGGATGCTCGGAACTTACAAGTCCCAAATGTACATTTAAATTAGTACAAGCACATTCAGAAGACAATAGAAACAGTACTTTAAATAACAGTTTGATACTTCAACATCTGACAGGTACCCCACAAGAAACATCCCACTATCCTACCAGTAAATGCAAACAGATCCCTAAAAAAACTTTAAAGCAAAAGGATGATTATTTTCTGAAAAACCAATGCATTAGTGACCTCACCTCATCAATGGCATTAGGATCAGCTCCAGCTTTCAATAAGCTGTTTATTAAGTCTGGGCTTCCATTATCAGCCGCAACATGCAATGGAGTTGCTCCACCAGCTGTAATGTTCACTTTAGAACCAGCCTGAATATAAGAAAACACATAATTCAGTGACAACAATGAAATGTTAACATGGGACGGCATATAGTTAAACATAATAAATGCTTCAGAGCCAACGTCAAATAATATTATATATTAGCAATCCATCTACTTAGAGAGGGGGGGGGGGGGAAGAAACAAAGATCAGAAATGGAAAAAGAGGAACTGTTTGCAAAATTCAAACTTCCTATTTAGAGGTCACTTGTCAAGTAAAGCAACTAAAAGTATAAAAAAAGATTTGGTTATTTCTCTTCTTAAGTTTTCATTTTGAAAGCATTTTATCATAAGCGAAAACAGTTTCCAACATGGTAGAAAACTAAGAAGATACAAAACCTGAATCAACAAGTCCAAGCATGCAAGTGAACCTGCTGCCACAGCTGACAACAATGGAGTGATATTATCCTCAGTTTCAGCATTAGGCTGCAAAAGTAATCATCATAAGTATCAAAGACAAACTCACATCAAAGGAACTACTCAAAACAGGAGTCCCTAAAGAAAACACAAAATTCTCTAGTCCCTAGAATTTTTCTTATTCGAGTATTACAACATGAAAACGTACATTAGCATGATGCTCCAACAAAACTTTTACAGCATCAGGTTGAGCATGACCGGCAGCCCAAACCAAAGGAGTGCCAGCATCACTTTGCAAATCAACCTCAACACCTGTGGCCAGTATATACTTCAGCAACTCAATATTCCCTGCAAGCAAGAAGTAGTAAATTGGACGTAAGAATTCACAAGGATTGGTTAAGAAAAAAAAAAAATTTAGGCAGGTCAAATTACCATGGACAATAGCTCTCTAGTAAACTTTGTTACAATGAGCCATGGACCATAGCAAGTTAGTAACATCACATTGAACTAAAATCAGTACACTATCAGATCAGAATTGAAGAAATAATAGAAACCACCCCCATCCTCAGAAAAGAAACAAACAAGCTAAAGATAACCCACCTATTCCGGCTGAATGATGCAAAGCTGTGGCACCTAATTCACTGGGTATAGCAGGATTGGCACCATGGTCTAGAAGGTATTTTGAAGTGAGAGTATGACCTTGCCGAGCAGCATGAAGGAGTGGAGTCTCACCTGAATTTTAAGTAATTCAAGAATTCAAGTCCAAGATTCTTTAGCACACAAAGAACAGAGCACTGGAAAATTTTGGCTACATAAGATGTAAAAATCAAATGCATACCATCTTCATCTTGTGTGTCAACATCAAGCTTCAATTCTTCCAGCAAGTATTTGCACACCTCAGTCTTGCCCTCCCTTGCTGCAAAATGAATTGCCCCTCGTTTATTGGCATCCTTAATATCTGCCACTGTTTTCGCCAGTCCCTTCCCCTCATCAAGTTGAGCCGCAATCTCTACTCGAAACAAATATAAAAAAAAGCCCAAAAAAGAGCATTTCAATTAACATTGAACCATTGGAATAATAAATAAGGACAAAACTTGAATTGCCTTACTTTTGAGAAGATCAAGATTCCCAGTGCAAGCAGCATTCAAAAAGTTTTGAACTTTCTGCCTTACTGCAATAAAAATATCAACAAATTTCCAAATTTAATCTTAGAGCTATTGAATTTTTGCATTCAGGGTACAAAAATCATAAACTTCCATCTATAATACACAGCAACAGAAACACAGAATCCCCGTTAAAGCATTCAACTTTTTGGCTCCAAAGGAATCTAAACGTTAAAGATTAAAAACCCAATAAACAACAATGCAGAATCATATGCATAAATATAAATAGGTGAAGAAAGTGGGAACCTGCGAGGGCAGTTGGGGCATCAGACGCCATGGTTACTGTTGCCTTTGTAAAACCCTACTTTGCCTTTGGTGGGTTTGCTCTGAAAAGTACAAAGAGTTAATAACTTGACTTGAAATACTAGGCTGTGCCAAAGCCTTCGGATGCTGTCCTGTATGCTAAGAAGAAGTTTCTAGGGTTTTACAACAGAGTTAATAAAGGATTAAAATTTTTCACTTTCTTGTAAATATAGTATTTAAAGTGAGTTATAGTGAAAATTATTGAAGTACTACACGTTAAAATATCACATGATAACATAAAAAAAGATTTAAAACGGTATTTTTGTTTATTTTTAAATTATAAAAAATAATTGAAAATTTTCTCAAAATCTTTTTTGTCCATGTATGTAGGTATGCACATGCAATTTTTTTTCCTTAAAATTTATTTAGCCCCATCATTTTGACAAGCGCTGTGGAATTCAAGCTGTGTGATTGTAGAATTTAATCTAAGAAATCCTTGATGAAACAATGTATAAAAGAAAAGAAGCATTGGAGATTCAAGAAATTAGTAAGTATAAAAGAAAAGAGACTGGTTCAGAATGCAATGTTGAAAAAAAAAAAAAAAACAGACCTAAATATCTGGTATCACTTCATCTCATCATTGTGCTGAAGCACTTCAACTAAATCATTAAATGGTAGCAATTAAACAGTACATTCCTTCAGTACAAATTTCCAGGCCAATGCCTAGTGCTGTTGTTTACATCAGATACCGTGATACAAAATTTGGTTACAAATCTTGGTTCTTTCAAGAGAAATTTGGAAGAATCCATAGCAGAGACCTCTTCTAACCAAACTTTTCCAGGGCCAAATGTCAATCTCTCTGACCCTTCTTAAAAATAAGCTGCACCATTTCCTTGATAGCACATTTTTTTCTTTTTCTTTTTTATTTTTTGGTTTAATTAATCAGAGGAAGAACCTAAACAATGAAGCCAACCTCTCTCTCTCTCTCTGACTTAATCTTTATTCTGACTCTAGATTTTTTTTTTTTTATTTTCCTGCCTCTATACAAGCCAACCCACAGGTCAATATGACTGCATCACAGAACATGCCACAGCCTGCGCCCAATGCCTAAGCTTAGTCTTCACTTGCTGAGGATTATCTCCTGGAAAATGGAAATAGCAGCATAATCAATATTGCAAGAAACCAACCAACCTGATTTTGTCGTTGAATAAGATTTTTACCCTTATTGTGGCTATTTCATTTGGTTTATGTGTTTTAGGCATTGAAACTTTACCTGGGCTGCAAATTTTCCAATCTGACTCACTTCCAAAAGAAGATGACCTGGCCCCAAGTGATGATGTTGAGGATGAACCTCGGCTTTTAGGTGTTGAAACTGGACTAGGAGAAAGCTGACGGTTTACAGCAAAATAAAGGTCCAAAGCAGGCAATGTATTGCATAGCTGTTGACCTTCTTCCTCATTGAATCCGAATCCAAGCTCTATGCACCCTTTAAGTTCGTGCAAGTCTTCATCAGTCAAGCCACTAGTTTCAATATTAATCCCGTTCTTTCGTCTCTCCTGACGAAGAATCTGGCGGCGCCTTCTCTCCCAAGCAATGTCCCTGGAGGTCTCACACATTGATAACTGCTTGGATAAACATCTCTTGTTTTTCATTAATGGTGATGGAACCAATGGCATACGTTGCAAGTCTTCTGTTTCTGAGTCACATAATGATGATGATGAAGATGCTGAAGATGTAATGGCCTTTGTTATTGGCTCTCCGTCCTTCACCATTGTCCTTTCACACATTTAGCTCAAAAGGAAGATAAGTTTGTGTTGTCCCCAGACAAGACAATTTTTCTTATTTGTATCTATGGAGAGATACCTTAAAAACAATAAGCTTCTTCTTGTATCTTGTATCTTGTTGGCAATAAATGGAACACAAAGAGAAGCTTATTGCCTCTTGCCGGCCGCGGCAGCAACTGAAGCTGACGCGGCCAAGCAATGGTAAAAGTGGGGGATGGGGATGGGGATGAGGGCTCTGTTGGAATGAGCTATATATTGCGAATTCGAGTGATTTGTCTTTATTAACTTTTGATTGTGTTGTTAGATTAAACAACACCAGTACAACCAGGTTAAGCTGGAGATTGATTTGGAGTGGGCTTTAATGGAGAAAGAAAGGGTTGGCATCCGTTATGGGGATTGGTTTTTTATTCAACCATCCATTTGTAACTGTCAGCTGCAAACCCCACAATGTTATATTTAGAGAGTAGCAATGCCAATATTGGAGGGGGAAATGGGGAGTTCTGCCATGTCTGTTAGGTAGGGATGGCTCAGCTACATTCTTGCAACATTGTATTTGCTAAAGGAATTGTCCTATACAGTACATACCGCCTTTTACGGATGGTTAAGAACACGAAAAATAATTTGATACCAGAGACAATGACATTCATTTCTAAACCTTGCAACAGAATTCTGCAAATTTTATTTCCCTGAATCAAGGAAGTTTCCACTTTGCTGTCTGTTGTCTTATGTATAGTGTGATAAACAACTTCCATTAACATCAAGAACAGACAAATCAAGATTCTAATGTCTGCAACATTTTGATATCAGACAATTCAAAAAATATTATGTGCAACATCTATAACCAAATCCTAAATTCATTATTTGCTATTCATGTTTTAAGAATAGGATCATTTTTACAATAAAAAACGTTGGTTTCTTTTTGTTTTTACACTAGGGACCCATAATAAAAACAATTAATCAGAAAATCCAGTAACAATTGGAGAGAAAACAATTTTCGTAATGTCTGACAGGGTGAGAATTCTGTTTAATGATTGGAGTTTGTACCATGCCCAACTCTCATCTTTATGCTTGAGGCTGGGAGAATTTCATTGTCACTTATCTTTATGCTCAGCTCTCATCTTAATGTTGTTCATCTTTAAGTCATTTGGAAACTTGCTTTGTCATGAGACTTAAACCTTCAAATTATCTGTAACTTGAGATTGGAACATGCATTTCTTTGGCCATTGCTGAGCAGTCTCCCAGACTTTATGCATATTTTTATTAGTGTTAATATGTAATTTGGTCCTTGAACTATGTTACTTTTAATGATTTGGTATTTATAAAAAAAAATTGATTAAATACCTAAATTTATTTAAGTGAAGTATAATGCAACTAATAGCACAATTAATCGAAGGCTAAAATAATAAAAAAGTCCCTGAACTTTATTATTTTATTTTGATAAATTCATATACTTTTATTGTACTTAAATAATCTTCTAATCTTTAATTTACACTCAAATAAGCCATTAATTTTTAATTTATATTCAAATAAACCTTTAACTTTTAATTTATACCTAAATAAGCTTTGATATAAAATATCATGCATGTAACACATCAATTTCTCACTATTACAAATTCCAAGAGTAAAATCTTTACTTATATAAATAATCAATTTTTACCATATTAAAGAAAATCGGAAAAAAATTCACAGTTCATTCGAAATAAGAACTTATTTTAATACAAATAAAATAATAAAAATTTATGTGTATGATAAAAGTATAATTTTTATTTTTAAAATAGTGAAACAATTGAAGAGCTTTTTTAATATTTTAGCTTTAATCAAATTACTAACGAATAAACAATGTCTCATGTGCTGTCATATTATTCGTTATTTTTTTGTCAAATCTGTTACGAGAATTAGTTTGCAAAGCAAAATGCTTGAGAAAAAAAAAATTGGATACTGGTGAATTTTTTCTATAGTACCAAATCGTGAATAATGATAATTCAAGGGCTAAATCGCAGGTTAACCCTTTTCATTATTATAACTTTTATGTTATATTATTGTGAGAAAGAGAAGAACTAAGAAATATTGTGAAAGTGAGCTGAATTTATTTTTCAATGTAGTGACAGCCTCAACAATCTAGAACAACAGTCTAAACATTTTGATATCAAGTAGAATTTTGAGGAGAACAATGATATATTTAGTATTTTGTTTAGCATTTAAAGGGAATTCAAACCTGTTAGAACCGATCAAATTCCTACAATCACGTTTCTCTCTCTCCTTCATCAATTTCCAACAACCTGTCTCAACAATCAATCTTCTTGTTTGGACAAATAACCAAAAATGGAAGGCAAAACAAAAAAGAAAAAGAATGAAACCATAATACAAAAGATAATAAAACCTCCTTCTCTTTCCTGGTTTGCTTCCTTTAATCCAGGCAAGCCCTGCCAATGTTTGAGTTTCCATGGGAGAGTAGAGATGGCTTAGGTTAATCCGATCAACTGCAAAAGTTAAAAAAAAAAAAAAGAAAAAAGGAAAAAAGAAAGTAGCCAGTTTAGGCGTACAGGAGAACTCAATTTGTTCCTTCTTGCTTTGTTTTCCTGTACGCCATTGAATGCCCTTAGTGCTTCTTGGCATTTCTAACCATGACAAACAGGAACCATTTTGTGCTTTCTGTTGCTTTGTTTTCTCTCATTTTCAATGTCATTCTTGTATCAAGCCAGCCTTTGGCTGTGGACTGTGGCTCGAAGGGTGGCAAAGATGAAGATGGGAGGACATGGGAACCAGATACCAAGTACCTCCTTCAATCCAACGGTTCTGTTCAACTCCAAGCTGGATATCAAGACCCTTCACTTCTTTCTACAGTTCCATACATGAATGCCAGAATCTTCACATCCCCAGCAACCTATCAGTTCCCCATAAAAACGAAGGAGCGTTACCTGGTCAGGTTTCATTTTTATCCTTCAGCTTTCCCCAATTTCAATATTACCAATTCCTATTTCTCGGTGGCTGCTGGAGGGCTCACCCTGATGAACAATTTTAGTGCTGCAATTACATGTCAAGCCCTTACACAGGCTTATCTTGTTAATGAGTATTCTTTGGCACCTTCGGATTCTGAGGTTTTAAATATTAACTTAACACCCTCTACTAACTACACCAACTCTTTTGCTTTTGTAAATGGGATTGAATTGATTGCCATGCCAAATTTATTTGGCATGACTAATATGGTGGGATATGATTCATCAAGTGTGGATGTTTCAACAGAGAATTTGCAGATGATGTTCAGACTGAATGTTGGTGGACAGTCTGTTCCTCCTAGCAAGGATGCTGGTGGCCTTTTAAGGAGTTGGTATAATGATGATCCTTACCTGTATGGTGCTGCCATGGGTGTCAATATTGAGGCAAGTAAAAATCTTAGGATTGATTACAAAGATTTGCCAAAGTCTTCAGCCCCAGAAGATGTTTACAGGACAGCAAGGGCAATGGGCAGAGATTCTAAATTGAACTTGAAGTTCAACCTGACATGGTTGTTTCAGGTTGATGCCAATTTCACGTATATTGTAAGATTACATTTTTGTGAGTTCCAACTTGATAAAGTCAACCAGAGAGTTTTCAACGTTTACATCAACAATCAATCTGCCCAAGCTGATCCCAGTCCAGCTGATATAATTGCATTTACAGATGGAAAGGGAGTTCCAACATACAAAGATTATGCAATAGTTGTCTCTGATGGGCCAGGCGATGAAATGGTTCAGATAGATATGACTCCATCAACTGCATCAAAGCCAGAATACTATGATTCTCAACTCAATGGAGTAGAGATATTCAAGTTAAATGATGGGAGCAAGAATTTGGCAGGCAGCAATCCACAACCATCAGCCATGCTTCTTCAAGCAGAGAGTGAGCCTAAAAGGTCTTTCAAGTCCAACAGTAGTGTAATTGGTGGAGCTACAGGAGGAGCTGCTGCTGCTTTTGTGGTGGTTGCACTATTGATTGTTGTCTACACAAAGAAGAAGCGAGTCCATGGGGTTGAATCACATACCTCTAGCTGGCTACCAATTTATGGGAACTCCCATACAACCGGTAGCAAATCAGATGGCAAGAGCAATAGCGGCCATCTTTCGACACTGGCTCAAGGTCTTTCTCGCCATTTCTCTATATCAGAAATCAAACAAGCCACAAAGAACTTCGATGAATCTAATGTCATTGGAGTTGGAGGCTTTGGTAAGGTGTACAAAGGAATTATTGATGGAGGTACCAAAGTGGCTATTAAGCGATCCAATCCATCATCAGAACAAGGAATTAATGAGTTCCAAACTGAAATTGAGATGCTTTCAAAGTTGAGACACAAGCATTTGGTTTCTTTGATTGGTTTCTGTGAGGATGGTGGTGAAATGTGCTTGGTCTATGACTACATGGCCCGCGGAACTCTTAGGGAGCACATTTACAACAACAAGAAGTCTCATCTGTCATGGAAACAAAGGTTGGAAATCTGTATTGGAGCAGCCAGGGGACTTCACTACCTCCACACTGGAGCTAAGTACACCATTATTCACAGGGATGTAAAGACAACAAATATTCTCTTGGACGAAAATTGGGTTGCCAAAGTTTCTGATTTCGGGCTCTCAAAAACTGGTCCTGACATGAATCAAGGCCATGTGAGTACAGTAGTAAAAGGTAGCTTTGGTTACTTGGACCCTGAATATTTCCGAAGGCAGCAACTAACTGAAAAATCCGATGTCTACTCCTTTGGTGTTGTCCTCTTTGAGGTATTATGTGCTAGACCAGCTCTGAATCCTAGCCTTCCAAAGGAACAAGTTAGTCTTGCAGATTGGGCCCTTCATTGTCAAAGGAAAGGAGTTCTTGAAGACATCATTGATCCTCATTTGAAAGGAAAAATAAATCCAGAATGTCTAAAGAAGTTTGCTGATACAGCAGAGAAGTGCTTATCTGATCATGGACTTGAGCGTCCTCACATGGGTGATGTGTTGTGGAATCTTGAGTTTGCTCTCC